TGAATAGGAACTCCATTTTTGTATTATTTACGCTTTAGGTAACATCGCACTCACTGCTGGAGAGCTGTTATATCGACCTAGGTCATAAACATTACTGGTAATTACATCTTCTAATATAATGAATTTAGAATACTGAAACTAACAAAATTTCATTGTTTTTTGTACTTCGGAAGAACGAAAGATTGCGTGAGAAGCACTCATGTAGCTTTCATTGCAAAATGACAAGCTAAAACTTCGTTTTCTGATTAAGATTGTAAATATAACGCTGGAAAAACCAACTTCAACGATGGGCCTTAGCTCTAAGAATAAAAGAAAAAAAATTCTAAGGAGAACTAATAAAATAATTTTTTTACATTATTAGTGTAGTTTAATATGTGATATATGACGGATTATTATATTTTTTACTAAGTTACCAATTGATAATTACCATAAGAATTTACTTGTAATACCTTATACAATTTTGAAAAGATCACAATTAAATAAAATGTATTTGAAATCTTCAAAATAATAGGAGAGTACTAAATTTCGAGACAAGACAGGAGTTCAATAAAAGAAGAGATGCGACAGACTTTGAGTTCACAATTTAGATTTTACGTGCTACGCTTTGTTACTGAACAAGGGTAAATACATCAGACGAACTTTTAATCTTGACCTCAATTTTAATTTAGATATTTTAACTTTAGCTCCGGTCCATTAAGCACCTAAAGTTGTCAAATCCATATCTATTAAACCCTATAATGCTAAGATGACAAGTTGTGTGTTTCCTACTCGAAGTTGAGCGTTTACGGAAAATGTCTTTGTAACACCAATAACAACTCAATATAATTTTACTAGTGGGATCTGGGGAGGATAGTGTGTACGCAGACTTTACCCCTATCCTGGGGTAGAGAGGCTGTTTCCGATAAACTCTCGGCTCCCTCCTCCAAGAACTCCCCACCTTGCTCTTAGCGTGACTCAAACTTACAACCTCTTGGTTGGAAGCGGATGGTGCTCACCACTAGAGCAAACCAAGAAAATGTCTTTGTAAGAGAATATGAAGATCTGTAAAAGGAAAAAAGACCATTATTTTATTTGTTTTCCTTTTCATTCTTTTTTCCCAATTAGCCATACTTTTGGTTTTTCTCGACCGACTATCAATTACCCAATAGCAAAAAATGTCAAGTCATCAATAAGTCGGAGCTAAAAGTTACTAGAATGAAAATGAAGTCAAATATAAGGGCTGTAGTCGTAGGAACAATTACTCTTGTAAAAGTAAAGGAATGGGGTTGTCAACAACCAGAAACATAAGTGGATCCCGCAAACTACAGTGTTTGTACCTTTATCAGCCAAGTCTGCCACATTAATTAATTAAATGAGGAGGAGGATTATTTCAGTTTTCAATTAAACATTTCTCATTCACACTTCTCTCCATAAAAGCAACTCAATAGCTTGTGGCCATCACAATAATTGAAAATTTGGGCATATATATATATATACACGAAGGAGGGGATTAAGGTGGAAAGGTGGAGAAAGCGATATTTATATAAAAGAGAAAAGCATATATAGGGGAGATAATTCTTGTCAACGTGTCTTAATTGGTCTGCATATCAATTTCCCAATTTATATGAATCCATTCTTGTTCAAATTAATGTCACGAGAATTAGATTTGTCTATTTTCACCCAAAAAAAATATGGCTGGACTTTTAAAAACAAAAATGAAACATTAAGAAACTACAAAATACTCCCTCCGTTCACTTTTACTTGTTCACCATGGACTTTGCACACCCCTTAAGAAATAATAAATAAAATGCATATTTTATCATGATACTCATATTAATTGATGCATATTTTTAATAGATTTGAGAAAATGATTTAAAATGAATAATTAATACTGTGGGTATAACAAAAAAAAAACTGTCTTCTCTTGATATGCTAAAAGTGACAAGTAAAACTGAAAATTTATTTTTAGAATACTGAGCAAGTAAAAGTGAACGAATGGAGTATGAGACAAAATGCAACTTTAATTTTTCACATTTAGAATATTATGGCTGGATTTAATTCTAAGGTGTTTCATGTCCAAACACAAGTTGATCAACTTCCAAATATTCTTTTAAAATCTAACTTCAAATAATGTTTTTTCAGATATCAACTAATTCATGACTAAACACCTAAGCTTCTTGTGCATCGGCCTTAAAACTTCAACCTCTATAATCTTTTGACATAATTAATTTTCCATCATCTAATATTGGAAGTATATTCATTGTTCAAATATTTTTACTCCCCACACTATTTGTTGGCTTGTACCTGTACCTTGTTTCTTGATTTTTCTTAACTTCTCGTACTTGTACCGATTTGAACGCTAATTATACCCCTTTTCTTTTGAATTGTATATGAATATTAATATTATACATAGGTCACTTGTTATTGACGTATTAGTGTTTCATACATTAACAGCTATTGTCTTGAATTTCTTTTGCTTCTAGATTTTAACAAGTTTTCTTCATAGAATAGTACTTCATTTATCTTAGTGATTTCAAATTTGTTAATTAAGCAGTTTATTCAATATTCACTAATGATGTTTAGTTCACAATTCTACAATATGCACTAGTTAATAGTCTATAGCCTATTTGGCCAAACTGCAAAAATCAGCTTATTTTGATAAGTGTTTTTTCTCAAAAGTATTTTTTTTAAAGTACTTTTAGTAAAAAACAGTTTGTGTTTGGCTATTAATTTGAAAAACACTTATCAGCAACAACTAGTGTTTGACCAAGCTTTTAAATATCGATTCTAAGTGTATTTATCTCAAAAATGCTTTTCAAAAAAGTGCTTCTCAAGAGAAACTACTTTTTTTTACTTCTCAAAAACTGCTTCTGCTTCTCCTCAAAATCACTTTTTTCTTCTTTCAAAAGTTTGATCAAACACTTCAACTTTGAAAAAAAAAAAGTTTGGCCAAACAAACTAATCTCTTTAACCCTTTTTTAAGGGGTATACTTTTTCCCTATATATGGTCTTCCTCAAACAAGCTTATATAGTACTTAACAAATGTACACAAAAAAGGAAATTTTACCTCCTATAGCAAAGTTATTCACCCTATTTATTATAAACTAAAATTATTTTAAAATATTATTTTCTATAGCTACCTTTTATATTTTATAGCAAAATAAGCATTTATGGTATACACTACCACTGAGGCGTAAAATATGCTATTTATGTTTTTTTTTCTCTCTCTCGTTCAGTTAACACACGATTCTCTCTCTCAAAATCTCAATAAATTTTTTCTTCTTTCTCTCTCTCTTCGAACAAAATACCTCTGCTTCTAATCGTGAATTTTCTGGCTGAATCCTTTAGGGTTACTGCAATTGAAAATACTTCTAAACTGTTGGAAGAAAGAGGAAAAAGACAGACCTTTTCTTCAAAATCAAATTCATTCATAGCAAGGAGGAGCTCGTTGCTCTGAGGCTGGGGCCACTGCGCGGGGAGCAAAAACGATGCCGGAATAATCCGAGTAGAGTATGGGTATTGTAACATGAACGACAGATACTGTAACATTTTCTACGCCGGAGAAGATTTGAGGGCCGGATTTTTGTTAGTCTCTATTTTTAGTTTTAATACAATGTATACAGTATTTTGCTTTGCCGGAAAACACCATCTTCAACGAACTTTCTTCTCTTCTTTGCTATTTAGTCACATACAATGATACAAATACATTATATTTTGTACAAATTCACTCAAATATAGTTTTTTTGTGTAAATATATTATTTTTCGCTTGTATTTATATATTTTGAAGGTCTATATTTTTTTAATACAGTCGAATATCATTGTGTTTTTGTGATTTTTATTGTTTGAATATAGTCGAATTGAATACAGTGTATTAAATACAATGTATACAGTCGAATTGAATAGAATGGTATACACCCTATTTTCTTAATTTTTTATTGTTTAAATACAACTGAATTCAATTTAGTGAAATTGAATACAATTCAATATTGCGCTTTCTGTTATTAAATACCCGTAATCACTTTTTTAGGCGGATTACCTCAATGTATTTATAAATACAGTCTCGCGAATACATGGAATATATAATTAAATATCTGTAATCCCTGTTTTTTACCTCAATGTATTTATAAATACAGTCGCGCGAATACATGGAATACAACACAGTAGCAGTGAAATTTTTTTAGAATTGATTTTGTTGAGTTAAATTAGGAGTGATACACGCTAATTGATCCTCCTTTTGTTATTAAACACCTGAATTTCCCTATTTTTAGGCGATTTTTGCTACTGTACAGTAGCGCGAATACAGCGAATACAGTCGCGAATACAGCAAATACAGTCGTATAACATCTGAATAGTTGCTATAGGAAGTAATTATGTACATGGTAGCTATAAGAAGTTAATAGACACTAAACAATAGTGGTTTCTGAAAATTCCTCCCCGAAAAATGAAAGATAAAAATGATAGAGGATTGGGCTCAAAATATCAAAATGAAAAAAAAAGAAAAAGAAAAAAAAGAGGGATATCAAAAGGAAAGGATTCAGAATAAGTTTAAAAATGTTAATTTCCTTGTAGTGGTAGTGACAAGTGAGTATAGTCTTTTGGCTGAAAATCCTTTAACCATTTACAGGACTTTGGAAAAAAATTAGAGACTTTTGCTTATGTTCAAGTAAGTCGATCCTCTAACTTTTGGTACGATAAATTATTCAAATAATCAAATAAAATAACCCTTAGATATCCACAACAAACCCTAAACCTTCCGATTCAGCATATTCAGAATTATGCAATATCACGAAATTATTAATTTCAATAGGACAAAATAGAAATTTTTTTCTAAGAAACAACTGAATAATAGCACTTTAAGGCGCCAATTATGACAAACACATTATCTTATCATACAGAATAACAAAAGGGTAAAAAAGATTATAGTAAAGGAAGGAAGAAGTGAATAATTAGGAAAAACAGAAAAAAAAAATAATTAGGAAAAAGACTTTTGTTCACTGCTAAAATCACTTTTTTCCTTAAATCGAACTAGAATTCTTTCTCCACTCTACTATTATAGCATGCACCATAATACATCCACATGCAGGTATGATATACAAATTCACAATCATGGCCGCTATAAAGAAAAAAGTTGGAATATCCTATTAGATTTTGGAAATGATAGACTCAAACATATAAATGTTTCATCATAAGTTTTTTATCCTCCTCTTCTTAATCTATTGATCAGAAGTATTAAACAGTGCAACGCTAGTAGAAAGAGTTATGCTACTAAACTAAGCTGTGACGAGTGAACTAAGTATAAATAAGCGCCAAAATTCTCTCCATTTCACTTGGCCTGCATGGTACTGTAAGTGCACCTTCACAATCAAAACCATATTCCTCAGCAGCTTGTTCCAATAGCGTCAAAAATGAAGGGTGTGTTAAACAACTCAATGGAACTACAAATCTCTTCACTTCATCATCTTCCGCCGCAACAACGGCGAAATGCCCTTCCTTCACGTCCTCCGGCACGTTGTTTTCCGACTCGTCGAAATAATCATCGGACGGTAATTTCTTCCCTAATAGAAGACTCTTTTGTAGCTTTGCTACCACTGCTATCAGATTCACTATCCCACTGATATTTTTCTTCCGGCCTTTTGTTCTACCCTTTGACATTATGATAGAGGAAAATAATAAGTAAAGCTACTAGGTTTTGTTTTTTGGTTTTACTTAGGTAGGGGTTTCTTTGGGCACCTTTAATTTTTTAAAGCATGTTACGTAGGTTATATGTATAATATATTTATAGTGTGAGCGTACGAAGCTGGCAGAGTCGGAGATAAGGTTGGTATTTACATGGTTGGACTGTCAATTGGTGTAAATATCGTGAGACAAAAGCATGTGAATGAAGTCATGAACTCATGATTCATGAAGTTTCCTTTCATCCGTGGAACATCTCTTTTAACGTCATATCTGCCGCTTCTTCCAATTACATAATAATTGGACATAATTTCTAACTTCCCTATTTAGCATTCTTAATAAATCACTATCATTAAAGAACCCACCATTGTACAAAAAAGAAATTAAAAAAATAATCAGTTGTGTATGATTTAGCATTATAAGCTTAAAAATGGATAAACAACAAGCTGAGATATGTTAAATTCTCACGATTGAGCTGTAACAATTATCAAATTTGGAAAAGACAAGAAGCATTTCGAGAAGAGAAAGCAGAAAATGAAATCTTCATCTTCAATTGTATCGGAAATACATTGTACAACTCTATATAACTAACTTTTACTCTAACCAACTAACTAGTGCCAACTCATGGATAGTTGTACAATTGACAGACTAATATGCTAGCTACAGTTACAATGATTAACTAATGAACTAACCCTCCCCCCTCAAGCTAGGACTACTGAAAATATTCTTCAGTCCTAGCTTGGACACCAAATAGTCATTTTGAGATCGCCCAAGTCCCTTGGTTAGCAAGTCAGCTTCCTGCTATGCAATAAGTACATAGATGGTACTAATTAGTCCATGTCGAACCTTCTCTCGAATAAAATGACAGTCGATATCAATATGTTTCGTACCTTCATGAAACACTAGGTTCACAACAATTTGGATAGCTGATTTGCTATCATAGTAGATGGGAACAGAAGAAGAATGAGAGACGCCCAACTCCTTGAACAGACCAAGAATCCAAATCACCTCAGCCATTGTAGAGGCCAAACTCCTATACTCAGCCTCTGCTGAGCTGCGAGAGATAGCCGACTCCTTCTTGGACTTCCAAGAAATCAAGGAGTTGCCAAACTTGACAAAATACCCTGTGATAGACATGCGTGTGTTGGGGCAAGCAACCCAATCAACATCATAAAAGGCTGAGAGAGAATATGAGCGGGTAACACTCAATAAAACACTGAGACCAGGGCTAGACTTAACAAATCTCACGACCCTTAGAGCATCCTCCATATGGGAAGTCTTGGGTTTATGCATGAATTGACTCAAACACTGCACTGCAAATGAAATGTCAGGACGAGTAATGGTTAAGTAGAGCAATTTTCCCAGCAATCTCTGATAGGGGCCAGGATCAGAGAGTATAGAATCACTAGTAGAAGCTATATGATCATCAAATTCAATGGTAGTTAATTTGAGGTTCTGCTCTATTGGAGAGTGGACATGTTTGGACCCTGCTAAGCCCAAATCAGAGATTAACTCTAAGGCATACTTGCGTTGGTGCATCAAGATCCTCTTGTCACTCCTAGTAAACTCAATGCCCAAGAAAAATTTAAGCTCGCCAAGGTCTTTGATTTTAAAACTGGACTGCAGATCATCCTTGGTCTGTTGTATGAGCAGAATATGTCATCACTTGTGATCAACAAGTCATCAACATAGACTAAACCCACCACCAACTTTCCTGACGCTTGCTTGATGAACAAGGAATAATCTAGGTAGCTCTGTGAAAAACCAAAAGTCTGCAATATTGTGGTTAATTTGATGTTCCATTGTCTAGAAGCCTGCTTAAGTCCATAGAGTGACTTAAGCAGTTTGCACACTAAGGACTTATCAGTAGAATCATTGAACCCCTGTGGAACTGTCATATACACCTCAATAAGGTCACCTTGCAAAAATATTGTACACATCCATTTGATGGATGATCCAATGCCTTGAAGCTCCTACGGAAAGCACATTCCAAACAGTCACCATTTTCACCACAGGTGAGAATGTCTCTTGGTTATCTAAGCCTTCTTTCTGACTATGCCCTTTTGCCACAAATATGACGTTGAACCTTTCAACTTTACCAGAAGCCTTGTATTTGATCTTATAGACCCATTTACATCCAATAGCATTCTTCCCCTTGGGTAGAGGAACAAGAGCTCATGTGTTATTTTCTTCCAAGGCCTTGATTTATGACTGAATAGCTTCTACCCACCTCTTGTCTTTAACTGCCTCTTGGTAAGACATTGGTTCTACTTCAATAGAAAACTGTGACAAATAGCTTTGATATTTAGGTGCAATGTGATCATAGATAAGTACCTCAGAGAGAGGATATTTGCAGCAACAACATACTTCTCCTTGGTAGGCGGAATATAATCTTGCATCCATATGGGAGGTTTAGACACTCTCCCTGATTTCCTAATCTCCTTACCATGTGTGTGGATCACAGCTAAATGCTAGAACATCAGCATGAGTGGAACCATTAGGCATAGAATCACTATCAGAAATTGTAGTAGGTGCAGTATCTATGGAGTGGGAAGTCTCAGGTAAAGTGGAAGAGCATGGTGCTGATTATGTACATGGTTCCTTGTGTGGAACCTGAATTGCAATTGGAGTTGAATCTATAAAACAAAACCATTCTAGGAACACGGGTAGAATCTATAAAAAATCTGATGAACCAAGGTCCAGTGATTGGAAAGGAAACAGATCTTCATAAAAGACTATATCTCTGCTAATAAAGAAAACACTGTGCTCCAAGTCTAATAGCATGTAACCCTTCTGGTGTGCTGCATACGCCAATAGAACAGACCTCATAGCCCTTGGCTTAAACTTATCATGCTTGATTAAGTTGGTTGCAAAGCACAAACATCCTATCACTCTCAAGTGTGAAATAGAAGATTGTTTGCCATGTAACATTTCATAAAGGGATTTGCCTGCAAGAATTAAGGAGGGATTCATGTTGATGATGTAAATAACTGAGTCAATGCAATGACCACAATACCTAACAAGTAAGTGTCCCTGAAATTTGATAGCTTTGATACTCTCAAGTATATGCCTATGTCTTCTTTCAACTACCCCATTTTGCTGAGCGGTGTATGGGCAAGAACTTTGATGTATAATGCCATGCAATTGAAACAAATCTTTGCAAGAATGATTAAAAAACTAAACTTCTTTATCTGATCTAAACACCTTAATTGGCTTACAATACTGTGTCTTGACCATAGCAATGAAATTTTTGAGTAAGAAGACTACATAAGACTTAAGTCTCATAAGAAACACCCAAGTCCATCTAGTGCAATCATCCATAAGGTAAGAAAACTATCATTCTATTATGAGTAGTAACTTTATAGGACCCAAAATATCCATGTGTACCAAGTCAAAACTAGATAAGCTTCTACTCCAACTAAATGTAAATGGTATTCTAGTTTGCCTTTCTAGTGGATATGTCTTACACTTATTGAACTGATTGTTACAAGAGAAACTGGAATTATTCAGTAGGATAGGAATTTTCCTAAGAACCTACACTGGGATATGTCCTGTTTGTTTATGCCATAAGTTTGCACCTGCTCCACTAGTTACTGCAAATGCTCGATTTACTTTCCTTCTAACTGATGAAGACAGTACATATAATCCATCATCCTCTTTACCAATCTCTTTCACCTTTCCAGACAAGAGGTCCTGAAATACACAACATTGTGGAAAGAATATGACATAGCGTTTCAAGTCCTTTGTGATCATCTTAGACACTGACAAAATATTGAACTTGAAAACTGGGACAAAAAGAACATCTTTAAGAGTATCACAACCTGTGACTTGACATTCCCCCATATGTGAAATCGTGGCTAAATCTCTAGTAGGCAATTGAACTTGTCCTGTGTTTCCTATTGATAGTTTATTATGTAATAAATCTTTAGTACCAGTCATATGGTTTATAGCACCAGTATCTACAATCCATTTTCAAAGTACCATATTCTCACAGAATTCTACATTGCCACAGAAGCATTTACCTGCTATGTGAGCATTGGCATCTCCAACAGAGTTCTTGTTTAACAGTTGTATAAGTTGATTGTACTGGTCTTGTATGAAGAACTGGGTTGGGACTACTGCATTACTCGTGTAATGGCTTGGCATTGGTGGGGTTTGAGACTACTGCCCTGATCCTTCTTGCAAAACTGCATTCACTTTCTTCTTTGGCTTGAAATCTGGAGGATAACCCACAATCTTGTATCAATTCTTCTTTAGATGTTCTGATTTATTACATGATTGTTACTATCTGATGCTACTTTCTCTCCTCTTTTTCCTTATCGTCTCCCTCGTCTTTCTTTCTCCCCTTCTTCTTCTTCTTCTTCTTCTTCTTCTTCTTCTTCTTCTTCTCCTCCTCCTCCTCCTCCCCCTCCTCATCCTCCTCCTTCTTCTTCTTCTTCTTCTTCTTCTTCTTCTTCTTCTTCTTCTTCTTCTTCTTCTTCTTCTTCTTCTTCTTCTTCTTCTTCTTCTTCTTCTTCTTCATTTCCACCTTAACTTGAGTCGAGAGTCGATTGTAAATAACCTCTTTACCTCTCCAGGTAGGGGTAAGGTCTGTGTACACATTACCTTCTCCGAACCTCACTTGTGAGATTATACTAGGTATGTTGTTGTTGTTGTTGTATGTCCTATTTTATTACAAAAGTCACATTTCATTAGTTTATAGCAGTCTTTTCTAGTATGCCCTTTTAGGTGACAAAATTCACATTCCAAATTATAATTCCTTCTTTGTTTATTTCCTGATTATGCAGTAAATAGAGTAGTAGGCTCAATATTTCCTATATTTCCATAATTGCTACCAGTGATCATGCGCCTACTTTCATCTTGAACTAGCATTGCATAGGCTTTGTTGATAGACGGCAAGGTAGGCAATAAGAGGAGTTGGCTTCTAGCTTTTTCAAAGCTATCACTTAATCCCATAAGAAATTGTAACTGATGTTGATATTCCAATTGTTCAACATACTCTGCAGCTGGAGGTGGAGGCAAGATGGAATCATACTCTGCCCATAGATTTCTGAGCTTGGTAAAGTATGTAGAAACAGAGGAAATTTCTTGAGTCATTGCGAAAATCTCCTTGTGCAGATAGTATGGCCTCGATCCATTGACTTTATCAAAACGTTCCTTGAACGTAGCCCACATTGTTCGAGCATTAGATGAGAAAAGTACTCCAGTTAACAAATCCTTACTAACACTACTCATTAACCACGAGATCACAATCGCATTACATCGATCCCATTAGTGTGCTCCTTTGAAGTCGATGCCATAAATTTGCACCTGCTCCACTAGTTACTGAAAATGCTTGATTTACTCTCCTTCTAACTGATGAAGATAGTACATATAATCTATTCTCCTCTTTACCAATCTCTTTCACCTTTCCGGACAAGAGGTCCTGAAATACACAACATTGTGGAAAGAATGTGACACATCATTCCAAGTCCTTTGTGATCATCTTAGGCACTGACAAAAGATTGAACTTGAAAGCTGTGACACAAAGAACATCTTTAAGAGTATCACCTCCTGTGAGTTGACATTCCCCCATATGTGAAATCATGGCTAAATCTTTAGTAGCCAATTGAACTTATCCTGTGTTTCCTACTGATAGTTTATTATGTAATAAATCTTTAGTACCAGTCATATGGTTTATATCACCAGTATCTACAATCCATTTTCAAAGTACCATATTCTCACAAAATTCTACATTGCCACAGAAGCATTTACCTGCCATGTGAGCATTGGCATCTCCAACAGAGTTCTTGTTTAACAGTTGTATACGTTGATTGTACTGGTCTTGTGTGAAGAACTGGGCTGGGACTGCTGCATTACTCGTCTAATGGCTTGGCATTGGTGGGGTTTGAGATTGCTGCCCTGATCCTTCTTGAAAAACTGCATTCACTTTCTTCTTTGGCTTGAAATCTGGAGGATAACCCACAATCTTGTATCAATTCTTCTTTAGATGTCCTATTTTATTACATGATTGTTACTATCTGATGCTACTTTCTCTCCTCTTTTTCCTTATCGTCTTTCGTCTCCCTCATCTTTCTTTCTCCCCCTCTTTCTTCTTCTTTTGCTGCTTTTTCTTCTTCTTCTTCTTCTTCTTCTTCTTCTTCTTCTTCTTCTTCTTCTTCTCCTCCTCGTCCTCCTCCTCCTTCTCCTCCTCCTCTTCCTCCTCCTCCTCCTCCTTCTTCTCCTTCTTCTTCTTCTTCTTCTTCTTCTTCTTCTTCTTCTTCTTCTTCTTCACCTTAACTTGAGCCGAGAGTCGATCGTAAATAACCTCTTTACCTCTCCAGGTAGGGATAAGGTCTGCGTACACACTACCATCCCCGGACCCTACTTGTGGGATTAAACTAGGCATATTGTTGTTGTTGTTGTTGTTGTTGTATGTCCTGTTTTATTACAAAAGTCACATTTCATTAGTTTATAACAGTCTTTTCTAGTATGCCCTTTTAGGTGACAAAAGTCACATTCCAAATTATAATTCCTTCTTTGTTTATTTCCTAATTGTGCAGTAAATATAGCAGTAGGCTCATTATTTCCTATATTTCCATAATTGCTACCAGTGATCATGCGCCTACTTTCATCTTGAACTAACATTGCATAGGCTTTGTTGATAGATGGCAAGGTAGGCAATAAGAGGATTTGGCTTCTAGCTTTTTCAAAGCTATCACTTAATCCCATGAGAAATTGTAACAGATGTTGATATTCCAACTGTTCAACATACTCTGCAGCTGGAGGTGGAGGCAAGATGGAATCATACTCTGCCCATAGATCTCTGAGCTTGGTAAAGTATGTAGAAACAAAGGAAATTCCTTGAGTCATTGCGAAAATCTCCTTGCGCAGATAGTATAGCCTCGATCCATTGACTTTATCAAAATGTTCCTTGAATGTAGCCCACACTGTTCGAGCATTAGACGAGAAAAGTACTCCAGTTATCAAATCCTTACTAACACGGCTCATTAACCATGAGATCACGATCGCATTGTATCGATCCCATTGGTGTGCTAACTCAGATCCAAAGTCCTCTTTCGAAGTCGATCCATCAACTAAACTGTTTATGATTTACTTGATTCTTAATTAAGAAGAGTTAGTTGCACTTCAAATTGATTGTCACGAGAGACAATTCTATCAGTCAATCCTTCTTGGAACTATTGCACAAGTTCGTTACAGGGCTAGCATACACGGAACATTTTGAGAACCAAAGATTAGGATGTCAAATGGGCGGGTTGGTCTGATTTTGGGCGGATCAAAATGGGTTGAGTCAATATATGGGTTCTCAATGACCCGCCCAAGAGTTACTTCTGAGATGGGCTGGGTTAAAATGGATTAAAATTTGGGTGATAGCCCAACTCGCCAAAAAATTACTTGGGCTGAGAAGAGTTGGATCAAAATGGGCTATAATTTGGGGCATAACCCAATTCGCCCAATTCTTGTCAAGCTTAAATTAATGTGTGTTATTTTCTTTTAAATTGTTTAATTATTAAATAAGACTTTTTTCTTTTGTTATGGTCATATATAACATATCAAACAAAAAATGAATTATTTTAAATATATTTTAGCAAATTTACTCATGGATCAATTTGGGCTAGAAATTAGCCTAATTTCAGATGGATAGGCTGAGATGAGTTGGGTCAAGATGTGCTGAGATGGGTTGGCTCAAGATGACCTGAGTTTAACAAATGGACAGGCTAATAATTGGCTCACCTTGGACAGGTTAAACGGGTTTGTGTTCAAATTACCCCCTTAATCACAGATGAGCAGTACATACTGGCACAGCTTGAAATTATTAAGAGATTATTTGATAGACACACAAAACTGTGTGGAAGACGACTACCATACAATCATGCATGCATGCCTCGCCTATTCGATGTTACCCCACTTTTTATTACAATTCCTTTGTAATAGACGGTGTGTTACACATTTAATCTTCATCAGCACCGGTCCTCTGAGAACTAGTGCGAAAGAATCGAGGAACCACCCGGTTCAAATAACATTTAAGGTTAAGCATGGTTAGGAATTAATAACGAATCATTTTTCAAGTTCATTATTATGGATAGTTCCTACCGTTAGAAAATAATACGGAAATTATAAACAAAACGGCTTTAAGGCGTTGGGGAAATACAAACGGTTCTCTTCCAGCAAAGCATGTATAATACTTGTGAAAAGTGTCTTGTTTCGTAAACCATAAAGAGACATATATGTTTATGTGAATTTTAAATTTAAATATATAGTGTACTTAATTGATTATATAATATATAACCAAGTCCGGTCTTTGATTATATGATATATAAGTATATAATGTACTTAATTGCACACACTTAAAAGTATGTATCCAGAATCAAAGACATGAAAGTGACAAGTGCTAATAAGGCTTCAAAAGAGACCTCTCTTTTTCGATGCGGGAATAATATTTCCACACTTCCCAAATTCAAAATAACAAAATATCTTACGCCTATAAAGGATCGGACTAATGACATATACGATACTTAAATTCTCGATGTAGATGGTTTATAGTTGGTTCTCATCCTTCAAAAATGGAGGGTATCTCGAAATAAGTTCAGAACCCATTTGTGATTCTTTTGGACAAGTGTGACGAAAATNATATATAACGCCACTGTAAACCGCGCTATACAAGGCTGATAAGACAGCTATGCATAGTGCGGTATATAATCGCGTTATACCTGTTTTATGGGCCCACCAATAAGTCTCCTGCGTTTAACTGACATAGCAATAATTCAAATGGATATAGCGCTATTTAAAAGAGCGCTATACCTAAAAAAATTTAGCCCACCGAGCTAGGCATTGCCTTATTTAAAGGCGTTAGGATTTTACAAAATCCATTCAAAAATATTCCTAACTCTCGTTCAAATTTTTCTTCTTGTTAAATTCTCAAGCATTTTTTCATAATGTCTGAAGAGCGAAAAGTAAGGGTTTCATTATATTGGGGGGGGTGAGATTATGGTGGCGAATAACTCTGTGGGCTATAGTTTATCTCCACAGTGTCATGTTAAGTTGCCACATACAATGGAGTACGATAGATTGATATCGTTGTTATGTAATAAAATGAGTGTGAGAAAACGTTCGGTGAATCTTAATGTAACCGGAAGATATCCGTATTCCGTCACTCCGCAAGGGGTTGCTTGTTACGCTGAGTTTAACATCGACGATGATGAAAACTTTGAGGGATTTTTTGAGGACTCCGGATGAATACCGGGAATTTCTTATGATAAAAATATTGGAAATGTACGTCAAGGTCGAAGACGTTCGCAATAATGAGGTTGTGCATAGTAGGGATAACCCTCAGTCATCGGGTGGTTATTCTGGAGCAGTTTTTGCCGGGCAGGTTCCGGATGAAAGAGTTTGCCCTGATTTAAACTTAGCACCACGAGCGAATAAGGAGCGAAGAAATAATTTCTCTCCTGCTTTACATAATCTACAAGACGAGTGGTAAAATTTAATTTTTTTTAGTGTTACGATGTATATTTTTGTTGTATTGAATTTGTATTTAAACTCATATATTCCACGGGGGGTACTGTCCAGATATGACTTTTACAAGTTATGAACCCACGCCCAGTTGGAATATGCATAGTTCTGGTATGTTGGATCATGGTGGTCCATCCGGGAGTCATCACCAATAGGATAATGTCCATCAAGGAATCTCAACATGTTACGACTTGTAAGTGAAGTGATACAGCTATATGGAAAGTATTTATTAGTTTCAGTAGCTTATTATTTTGTCGTTTGTGAAGTGAAAACGAGCAAGTTGAATCACCTCTCCTCACTTAATTTCCCGAAGACTACATATTAAATCGGGATCTGGCAAATGCATAGAGTGAGGAAGAGAACAGTGATTATGACAACAATGCCGATGATTCCGGAGACGTCACACCCTTCCCTCGTGAGGATGGTGATGAGGAGGAAGAGAATGAATGACCTAATTTGACGAGGGAGTATGCTCCACCCCCCGTTAGACCAAGAGTGTATGAGTCCCAAGTGCCGTTTCATTCAAAAAAGATTTCCTACCTTGATAACTTGCCAAGTATGCCGGATGTGGATACTCTCATAAGGGATTTTAATAAAATTCGGACATCAATTTGGGATGATTCTAGACCAACGGTACTGGCAAAGGGCATGCTTTTTCCTGATAAAGAGTGCCTAAGCATGGCGGCGAAAACGCACAACGTAAAAGAGTGTCGTGAGATGAC